GCAAGCGGGGGTCAGCCAGAGCGCCCGATCTTGAGGGCCAGGGTCGCACTGACCTGGGTCTGGGTGCAGGATCCTGCAGGATCCTGGAGGATCCTGCGCGCGGGCCCGGGACTGGGTGCAAGAGCTTGCAGGCTTCTGCAAGGCCTGACTGGCCTGGCTCTGGATTTCCCTGGGTCAGAGGATCCCCGAGGCGGCTGCCTCGCCGCTGGCCGTGGTGCGCCGCAGCGGCTCGGGCTCGGGCGGCGGGGGCGCCCCGCGCGGCGGCCCCAGGCCAGCCGCGCCCGAGGGCCCGGCCGGCCGCCCCAGGCACGAGGAGCAGACGCGGGAGCCGCCCTCGGCCCCGCTGGCGGCGACGTCGCCCGGCTCTTCGCCTGGGACCACCCCGCGGACCCCTCGCGACGTGGTGGTCGACGTGGAGGGCCAGGATCCGACGAAGGCATGTATACACCACCACCGTACTATGCCAGGGCCATCCTGGGCCCCAGGATGGTGTATAGACCCTCCCTGGCCTCGGCCAGGATGGGTTGTGCACCGTGCCAGGGCCAGGACAGCCCTGGCCTGGCACGGTGGTGGTGTGTAGATGCCTTCTGCGTACAGGAGGTGGTGGTGCCCTCGGGAAGGTGGGCTCCGGACGGGCACCTGGAGGCACAGTTCCCCGCCGACGCCGCGTGCGCCGTGACGGTGAAGGCGGGCCTTACGGGCCGCCACGGCATCCACGCTGTGCTTCGGGTGGGCCTGCGCGCGCGCGACAGTTGCTTGCGCTTCGCCCCCACGCCGGAGGCGCTGGGAGTGTGGGCGAGCACCTCCGCGGTCGGCGCTGAGGAGTGCGCCGTCGGCGCGTTGCCTTCGCGTACCGGCGGCCCCGCACAGATGCCACGGCCGGGATCGTCTCAGTACGGTTGGTGCGATGAAGACAGGGCTGCCAGCGGGGGCGGCGAGTTCATCTCCGCCGAGGAGGCCCTAGCCCTGGGGCCAGAGGCGTCCACGGCAGAGTTCCGCTGCAAGCTTGCGCTGCGGGTGCACGCGACGTGCGCCCTGAGGGACGACGGGCAGGCCGCGCTTCGCGTGGAGGTCGAGGGAGAGCTGCTCGTCTTGCCGCGCTTCCGGCTCGCCGGCCGCGAGGCCCTGGTCAGGCACTACACGGCAGCGCGCGCGGCCTTCGCCGAGGGGCGGGACGTGGCTGCCCTGAAGAGCTGCGAGCAGGCCCTGGGCGCGGCGGGCGGCCCCCTGTCGCGGTGCCGCGAGGTCGGCGACGTGCTGAACCTCATGGGCGCCCTGCACCTGCGGCGTGGGGCGCCCGGGCTCGCCGCCAAGTGCCTGGAGCGTGCGCTGGCCCTGCGCAGGGCCGCGGGCCCGGGCAGCGACTGCGACCGCACGCTCGCCGCCACGCTCGGCTCCCTGGGGAGCGCGAGGCAGGCGCTGGGCGCGCACGCGGAGGCCCTGCGCTGCCACCTCGCGGCCGTGGAGGCGCTCGAGAGGGCCGGCGGCGAGGACGCGGCCCTGGCGGGGGCGCTGCACGCGCTCGGCGGCGCGCACCGCGTGCTGGGCCAGGTGGAGCAGGCGTGCCGCTGCTTCGAGAGGTCGAAGACGAAAGAGCGGCACACACAAAATACGCTCTGGGAGGTCCGCGCGGATTGTCTTTGCTTCGGCGCTGGGCCTCCCTCCCTGCGCCGCCCCTGGCGCCCTCCGTGCGCCAGGGAGGGGGGGGCCGTCCAGCGCCGACCCGAGAGCTCCGCGCGGGGCTCGAGAGTCGATGCTTCTGCAGTTTTTTCCTGCCTCCGAGAGGGCCCTGCAGCTCCGGGAGCGGGTGCTGGACCCGAGCTCGCCGCAGCTCGCCGCCACGCTGAACAACCTGGGCGCCGTGTCGCAGCAGCTCCGGCGCTATCGCGAGGCCGTGGGCTGCTACCAGCGTTCGCACGAGATCCAGTCCATCGCGTACGGCCAGCGCCATCCGACGACGGCCGCCACGCTCAGCAATCTGGGCTCCGCCCACAGCCAGCTGGGCGAGCACCGCCGCGCGGTGGAGTGCCTGGGGGACGCCCTGGCCGCCCAGGAGCAGAGCCTCGGGCCAGAGCACCCGAGCGTTGCGACCACCCTGCACAACCTCGGGAACGCCATGGCGGCCGCCGGGGCGGGGGCCGACGCGGCGCGCTGCCACTGGCGGGCGCTGGAGATCTGGTCCAGGGCGCTGGGCCCCGCCCACCCGGACGTCGCCGCCACCCTGCACAGCCTGGGCAACGTGTACCGAGGCCTCGGGGAGCCGGACGCGGCCGCCAGGTGCTTCGGGGGCGCCCTGCGCGTCCGCGAGGCGGCCCTCGGCCCCACGCACCCAGAGACGGCGAGGACCCGGCACTGCGCCGCGCTGGTGGGCTGCCAGCTGGGGGACCCCCCCGCCGCGCTGCAGGAGCTGCAGGCGGCCGTCAACTCCCTGCTGGCCAGCCTGGGCGCGGAGCACCCCTGGTCGCGGCAGGCCTGCGCCGACGCGGAGGGCCTGCGCCAGGCCGTGGGCTGCTGAGCCCCGCCTGCGGGCGGCCGAGGGGCGCTCGCCTGCGGCAGTGCTGCCCGCGCCGCGCCGCGCCCGAGGGGGTCCTCCATTCGTGCCACCCGCGCGCTGTGCCCGGGGTCCGCCGCCCCCTTCTCCTGGCCTGGCGGCCAGGTCCCCCCCGCTGCGGTCCCTCCGCGTTCCTCTGCTCACCCACTCTGGGTCGGGCCTCGCCTCCGGCCCGCCGAGTGGCCCTCCTTGTGTCCGAGGGGGAAGACTGGTCCCCGTCCCCTGGAGACCTCCGTGGTCGACACCAAGCCGGTGACGTGTGGTTGCAAAGGTCATGTGTGAGTGTGTAGGAAAATGAGTGCGCGCGCGCGCGTGTGTGCATTTTTGTTGTTGTGTGTGACGCTTGGTAGCATCAGCATGACCGCAATGGCATCTTCCACGTGCATCCGCGTTTCGCGTTTTCCTGCATGCGACTGCCACCATCCAGGTCGCCCATCTGCTCCGACGGTGCCGTCATTTTGCCGCTCGAGGTGTGCATTCACACACATGTATTCATATATACATTTACATTTACATATATATATATATATATATGTATACACATGCATGCATGCATACACGCATACACTTTTTGCGTCGGCGGCAAGGCAGAGTAACTGCGCTGGCGGAAGAGCCACCTAAACGGGGGCACCGTTGTAGCGAATCGTGCCACCAGGCAAGAGTGAAAAACGGGGAGGGCGGGCGGCCGAAGGGGTGGGGGAAAACGCGAGGGCCGCTCAGGGGGACGGGGCACGTCCGGACCGAGCACGCACACATACACATACATACACACATACACACATACACATACACATACACATGTACATACATACATACATACATACATACATACATACATACATTCATTCATACCTACATACATACATACACACATACACACATACATACACACATACATACATACGTGCATACATACATACATACATTTACACACAAACATGCATACACACATACATACATACATATATATACACACATACATCCACATATATGCATTTACATACATTCATTCACACACATACACATACACACATACACGCACACACGCATACACATCCATCCATCCATCCATCCATACATACATACATACATACATATGTATACATACATAAATACATGCATACATACATTTATACATTTATACATACACACATGCATACACATACATAAAAACGTATACACATACGTACTTACATACATATATCCATCCATCCATCCATCCGTCAGTACATGCATGCATATACACATACATTTAGACATCTACATCTACATGTACACATACATGTACATATACATGCACATATACATAAACACATGTATAGCCACATTCATATACATATACGTTTGAGTTTCGACCTACATATTCATAAACATGCACAACTACATATACATATGCAACTACATCCACATTCACAATTACTATGCATTCACATTTACATAAACATGCTCAGACTCATACGTTTGCATATTAACATACATATGCATACATATACATTCACACATACATACACATACACATACACACATACACATGAGTTTGATTTACATATACATAAACGTAAGCAGGTGTCTATACAAACATATATTCATGTACATTTACATATCCATATACATATGCATCCACACATGCACGTACACAACCATACATATACATATATGTATCTGTGCGTGTGTGTATATCCACATGTATGTATCATCATTCATCATTTGTCGTCTATTTCTTCCTTTCTTTCTCTCTCTCTCTCTCTATATATATGATGTATATATATATGATCCAGGGTCGAGGGTTCACGGCCCCCCCCCAGATGGTATGGTCCCAGGATTCCTCGGGCCCCCCCCCCAGATGGTATGGTCGACGACGACGACGACGACGACGACGACGACGACGACGACGACGACGACGACGACGACGACGACGACGACGACGACGACGACGACGACGACGACGACGACGACGACCACGACGACGACGACGACGGCGACGACGTCGACTACGACGACGGCGACGACGACGACGACGACGACCACGACGACGACGACGACGGCTGCGGCGGCGACGACGCCGACGGCGGCGGTGGCGACGACGACGATGACGACAGCACATCCACACGCGCAGCGCAGCACCACGCACCACAGCATCTGAACCACCACAGCACCACACCACATCCACAGGGGTGGGTGGGCACCGCAGCGCAGCACCACGCCACGCCCACAGGGGGGGGCGGGGGGGACCATCGCGCGGGGGGGGGGGCCAATGGCATCAGCATGGGGGGGGGGGGCCAAGCCCTGGACCATATATCTCCCTGCGCCCGAGGCGGGGGGGCCCGGTAGGGGGCCCTCGACGCGCCATGGGAGAAACGGGGTGCCAGGGACGCTTCCAGACCGCCCGAGACAGCTCCAACACAGCTGAAAAGGGCCGGAAGTGGCCTGCAAGAGGGCTCGAAACGCGGACATACTGGTCGAACGCGCCCAAGATGGCCTCGAGATGGCCGAAAAGGCTCCCAATCCGGCCGAAGGAGTCTCCAAGAGCAGTCCTCCAAGGGCGCCACGAAGCCAAAATTATTGATTTTCATACGGATTTTGGTGCATTTCAGTGTTTCTGCCTGTTCAGCTTCCCGACGCTCCAAGACGGTCCAGGACACCCAGACATTGGCCACACAGGCTTCCACGAGGGCGCCGAGACGGCCCCAGAGCCGCCCCCAGATGGCCCAAGAAAGCACCCAAGGGACCCCGCAACGCGGACATATCGCTCGAACACGCCCAAGATTGCCTCCAGATGGCCCACAAGGCTTCCGACACGGCTCGGGGGGTCCCCAAGAGCACTCCTACGGCTTTTGGTACATTTCAGCGTTTCTGCCTGTTCAGCTCCCCGACGCTCCAAGACGGTCCCGGACACCCAAATATTGCCCCAACAGGCCCCCACGACTGCGCCGAGACGGCCCAGGTACGCCCCCAGACGGCCCAAGACAGCCCCAACACAGCGGGCCGCAAGAGGCCTCCAAGAGGGCTACAGTCACCGAAATATCGTTCCAGCGCGCCCAAGATTGCCTACAGATGGCCTACAAGCCTTCCAACACGGCCGAAGGTGGTCCCAAGAGCACTCCAAAAGGGCCCCAAGAAGCCAAAATCATTGATTATCCCAAGGTTTTTCAAAGCTTTTCCCGTTTATGCCTGTGCCGCTTCCCGACGCTCCAAGACGGTCCGGGAAGCCCGCACATCGGCCCAACAGGCCCCCACGAAGACGCCGAGACGATCCCAGAGGCCCTCGATACGGCCCAACAGGCCTCCAAAGGGCACTCAAGAACGCCCACAGAACGCCTCCAGAGAGAACTCCGAGGGGGCACACCAACCAACCTTTCGAGCTCTCCACCCTCGGAAGCCCCCAAGAGGCTCCCAGCGGCTCCCAAGACACCCCCAACAGGCTCCAAGACGTTCCCAGGAGCCTCCCAGGACGCCTCAGGAGGCCCCCAAGAGGCACCTGTAAATTCCCCCCCAGACGGCGTGAGACACTCCTGACGATCCTCGACGCCGTCCCAAGAGGCACACGGCCCACAGTGTCCCCAAGAGCACTCCCAAAAGGGCCCAAAGAAGCCCAAATCATTGATTTTCTTTTTGGTTTTTGGCACACTTCAGCGTTTCTGCCTGTTCAGCTTCCGACGCTCCAAGACCATCCAGGGCACCCAAGTATCGCCCCAACAGGCCCCGACGAAGGCGCCGAGACGGCCCATGGCCGCCCCCAGACGGCCCAAGACAGCCCCAACACAGCTGAAAAGGGCCGCAAGAGGCCTCCAAGAGGCCCCGCAACGCAGACAGATCGCTCGATCACGTCCCAGATGGCTTCCAGATGGCCCGCAAGGCTTCCAACACGGCTCGGGGGGTCCCCAAGAGCTCTCCCAACAGGGCCCGAGGAAGCTATAATCATTTATTTTTCAATGGTGTTCGTTACACTCTTCTGCCTGTTCAGCTCCCCGACGCTCCAAGACGGTCCTGGACACCCGGGTGTCGCCCCAACAGGCTCCCACGAGGGCGCCGAGACGGCCCAGAGACGCCCCCAGACGGACCAAGGTAGCCCCAGCACAGCTGAAAAGGGCCGCGAGAGGCCTCCAAGAGGGCTACAGTCACCGAAGTAATGTTCCAACGCGCCCAAAATGGCCTTCAGATGGCCTACAAGCCTTCCAACACGGCCCAAGAGGTTCCCAAGAGCACTCCCAAAATGGCCCCAAGAAGCCAAAACCATTGATTCTACTAAAGTTTTTGGTGCATTTTTAGCGATTGTGCCTGTGCCGCTTCCCGGCGATCCAAGACGGTCCGGGATGCAAACAGGCCACCCCCAGACGGCCCAAGACAGCCCCAACACAGATGAAAAGGGCCGCAAGAGGCCGCAAAGAGGTCTCGAAACGCGGACATACCGGTCGAACACGCCCAAGATGGCCTCCAGATGGCCCAAAAGGCTTCCATCACGGCCCAAGCAGTCTCAAAGAGCAGTCCTCCAAGGGCGCCAAGAAACCAGAATCATTGATTTTCTTTTGGTTTTCGGTGCATTTCAGCAATTCTGCCTGTTCAGCTTCCCGACGCTTCAAGACGGTCCCGGGCACCCACACATCGCCCCAACATGCCCCTACGAGGGTGCCGAGACGGCCCAGGGACGCCCTGCCGCGGGGCCCGGGACGGGGCCGTCGGACGGGAGGCCCGGGGGCCCTGCCGTGGCGCCAGAGGCGCTTTTCAAAATCGCCCAAAGATGGCCCCGGATCGCAAGAAATGGCGTTTCCAGGTCTCTTGGGGGCTTGCTTGCGATCTCGGGGGCGGAGGGCTTGAAATCTCGTTCGAGTTCTCTATATTGGGCCCATCTAGGGGCCCTTCTAAGGGCCCTCTTGGGGCCCTCGATCGGCCGTACCTTGTCGATTCGAGTTGCGCTCAAACCGTCGAGGCCCGCTGGGGTAGGGTAAGGCCCAGGGCTCGAGATT